TGGACCCTGACCGAACCGGTCAGCTTCGGGCGAGGAGTACAGCAAGGGTGCCCCCTCTTGGGCCAGCTGTATGCTCTGGCGATCGAGCCCTTCCTCTGTCTCCTCCGCAGGAGGTTGACGGGGTTGGGGATGCAGGAGACAGAGCTGTGGCTGGTCCTGTTGGCGTACACTGATGACGTGCTCCTCGTGGTCCAGGACCCGGCGACTTGGCGCGGGTGGAGGCTTGCCAGACCATCTATTCAGCAGCCTCCTCTGCCCAGGTCAACTGGGTCAAGAGCTCTGGCTTGGTGATAGGGGACGGGTGGCAGGCGAGCTCCCTCCCACCCATGCTTCAGGCCATCCGGTGGAGCACGGGTCCGCTGCTCTATCTCAGCATTTACCTTTCTGCCACGCATCCCTCTCTGCCAGAGAACTGGCACAATTTAGAGGGTGGAGTGATAGAGCGGCTCCGGAAATGGACAAGACTACTCCGGTGCCTCTCCCTTCGAGGGAGAGTGCTGGTGCTTAATCAACTAGTCCTGTCCATGCTCTGGTACCGGATCAACACCCTGGTCCCGGCCCCGGGTTTCCTGGCCAACCTCAGGACATCGATTCTGGAGTTATTTTGGTCAGAACTGCACTGGGCCCGTGCAGGGGTTCTCCATTTACCCCTAGAGGAGGGAGGGCAGGGCCTGAAGTGTCTGCACACTCAGGTCCATGTCTTCCGCCTCCAGGGCCCGCAGAGGCTCCTTTATGATGCAGGTAGTCTGGTGTGGAGCATACTGGCGCACGCCTTCCTGCGCCGCTTCCGAGGGCTCTGATACGACCGGCAGTTCCTTTATCTCCATCCAAGAGGTCTTCTGCGAGACCTCTCTGGGCTGCCTGTCTTCTACCAGGACCTCCTCTGGACCTGGAAACTGTTTTCAACAACCAGGTCCATGGCGGCCACCGAGGGGGCAGATCTCCTCGCAGAGCTCCTGCTACACAACCCCCAACTCCGTGTGCAGGTGGAGGAGTCCCCCTCAGTGCGCCAGAGGTTGGTCCTGGCAGAAGTCACAAGAGTCGGAGACCTCCTGGACTACGACCGGGGAAACTGGCTGGATCCCCTGACACGCTCAGCGCATGGGGCTCTCCAGACCTCGTACTCCCCGGTGCGTACTTCAGGAGGTGAAGGCCGCTTTGCCGCCCACTGCTCGGGTTTATCTTGACCGGGTCCTGCGCGAGGGCATGTCCTGCCCATCCTCCACCCCAGGCCCGCCGGACCTTTTCATCGGGCCCCGTGGACCCAACTGACCCCCCCACCCGTTCACCGTGATTTGTTTCCAGACCGCGCCAAGGAAACATCTATACACGCTCGTGCTCCACATCCTTCACGTCCTCACCCTCGTGTCCCGCCCCAATACAAAATGGCGGGACCTCCTGCCACCTTTGGAAGGTGAGGAGCCCCAGTGGGCCAGCCTATATTCCACCTTGGTCCCGAGGCCAGCCGGGATATCAGTTGGCGGCTCCTTCACGGAGCCGTGAGCATGGGTGTGTACTTGGCGCAGTTCACCCCATCCCAGAAACCTGCCCCTTTTGCGGCGTGAGGGAAACCCTGGCACACATATATTTGGAGTGTGCTAGGCTGCAGCCCCTATTCCGGCTCCTCACGAATATTTTATTATGGTTTTGGTTGCACTTTTCCCCTCACCTTCTTATTTATACACTCCCTATCTGGCCCCACAAAGTCACGGGATCTCCTGGTCAACCTCCTCCTGGCCCTTGCTAAAATGGCCATCTATAAAGCCAGAGTGAGAAGGTTGGCCGATGGAGTCTCCTGTGACTGTGGGGCCTATTTCCGATCCTCTGTCCATTCACGTATCCGGGCAGAGTTCATCTGGGCGGCGTCCACTGACAGCCTTGATGCTTTTGATGAGCAGTGGGCACTGTCCGGGGTTCTCTGCTCGGTGTCCCCGTCCGATTCCCTTCGTTTCACCCTTTGACCACACTCCTGTCCCTGTTATTTCATTAGTTGTCCCCCGTATTTATTTGGTGTCCGGGTCCTGTGGATCCCCCTCTTAGGCTGGGGAGGGTGATCCTTTAGTAGTGGATCCCAATAGGATCACTCTCCTGTAGCCTTCTGGCCCGACCCTGTCACAGTCAGTAATAAAAAGATTAAATAAGATTGGTCCCAAAACCGATCCCTGAGGAACTCCACTAGTAACCTCCTTCCAGTCTGACAGTTCACCTTTCAGTGTGACCCGCTGTAGTCTCCCCTTTAACGAGTTCCTTATCCACCTTTCAATTTTCATATTGACTCCCATCTTTTCCAATTTAGATAATAATTCTCCCTGTGGAACTGTATCAAATGCCTTACTGAAATCGAGGTAAATTAGATCCACTGCATTCCCTTTGTCTAAAAAATCTGTTACCTTCTCAAAGAAGGAGATCAGGTTGGTTTGACACGATATACCTTTTGTAAAGCCATGTTCTATTTTGTCCCAATTACTATTGACCTCAATGTCCTTAACTACTTTCTCCTTCAAAATTTTTTCCAAGACCTCACATACTACAGATGTCAAACTAACAGGCCTGTAGTTACCTGGATCGCTTTTTTTACCTTTCTTAAAAATAGGAACTATGTTAGCAATTCTCCAGTCATACGATACAACCCCTGAGTTTACAGATTGATTAAAAATTCTTGCGAACGGGCTTGCAATTTCATGGGCCAGTTCCTTTAATATTCTTGGATGGAGATTATCTGGGCCCCCTGATTTAGTCCCATTAAGCTGTTCGAGTTTGGCTTCTACCGCGGATGTGGTAATATCTACCTTCATATCCTCATTTCCATTTGTCATCCTACCATTATCCCAAAGCTCCTCATTAGCCTTGTTAAAGACTGAGGCAAAGTATTTGTTTAGATATTGGGCCATGCCTAAATTATCCTTAACCTCCACTCCATCCTCGGTGTTAAACAGTCCTACTTCTTCTTTCTTTGTTTTCTTATTTATATGGCTATAGAACCTTTATATGGCTATCACATTATTCTGTACCCCTAAGTAATAAATTTAACCAATCACACACTAGCATTTATGTTTTCTCCTCCCTGCTCAACTCTTTTTACATTTTATCTTTCATGCCAAATTGTAACTTATTTATGACTTTCTTTGTGCAGATGGTCAGCATAAATTCACTGGTCAGAGCTTGTCTTATCTATTTTACCAATTCTTGGGTCTTTCTGTTTCCTGCCTAAACTTCCCAGTGCCTGGATGTCTCTACTTTACAACCCTTGATGTTAGAACTCTTGTTATGGCCATTCCTGATGTGGGGGCACCTTAGCAGCAGTGGAGCATTTTTTTCCTTAATTTGAGTGGTGAAATCCCTGAGTTTCACCCAAGGCTGGTTTAGTATGGGGAGAGTTAAATCTCAGACCTACAGTAGTGGATCAGAATCTCACTTTGTCCTTCTCTGTTAAACAGCAATTAGTAATCTATCCTCTGTGGGGTTAACAGCAGTACATTTTCAGCTGCAGAGTTGCTCTGGTGATGACACACTTAAATTACTCGGTCACTTAGGGGAACCTTATAGTGAGTGAGTGACATTACACAGTTGTTGGGAAAACAGAAAAACACTTTAAAATGAGTAATAAATTAAATAAAACCAGCCATTCCTGACAAATAGCATCTATAGAGACAGCATATTAAAATATGTAGATATAGAGTGGAGTATTGCATCTGGAATATTGCATCCTGAGCATTTATATTGGTATATATTTCAGAGGTTTTTACATTCCCGCTAAATTGTCAAATAATGGCACACTGAAACATGATACTCCAGTTTATGCCACCAAAAGTAATCTCAGCCATTACTCAATCTGTTGGTGTTATAATTAGGCACATGGTTGTGATTTTGTTTAGCTTAGGTATCTTTCACTATCGTCTGAAGTACAGGGGCCTGGCATCTTGTACTAAATTCTTCTCAAGGAGAATATTTCTAAAATGTTTGCAAGCCACAAACATTAAAGTAACTTAAAAGGAAAAACAAGTTTTTTCTTTTGCTCATATCACAAACTATTAAACCTTCTTGAAGTAAAAAACTAAGAGGAAAACTGAATTAGTTTTTTGTATATTTTAAACCTCCACATGACAGCAATAATCTAACATCTAAAAATAAACTATGAAAACTCTTATGGACTGAAACATTCTGTTAAATGTGGTCTCTATTCACATGATTACAGTGACCCTAGCATGGACGGCTATAATAGGCTGAGGAAGGCAGAGCTCATCTCTTAGTACCCTAGCTGAGTTTATGGGACAGAGTTAGAAAAAATATTGTCTTGTAAATTGGCCCCAGCCCAGGCAGACAGCTCCTCGTCCAGGAAGGGAAGCCTGCTGGGGATAGGGCAGCTGGGACTTGGGTGGCTGGGGCCACCCAGCGGCAGGGGAGCCCTCTGCGCTGGGGCCGCACTGCCCAGCGCTCCAGGGCTGGGGAAAAGGGGGAGGCTGAATGTTGCCTGCCCGGTGCTCCGGGGCTGGGGACCGGGGGGACACATGCTACCTGCCCAGCGCTCTGGGGTTGGAGGCACTTGGGCAACCTGCGGCTGGTGGGGGGACTGGCGGCTGTGGGGCAGGGAGGGGGCGGCTCTGGGCTTGGAGGAGGTGGAGGGGGGGAGGGGAGGGATCTCAGGAGGAAGGGGTGAGCTGGGCTGGGGGCTAGCCTGCCCTAACCCGTGGTTCACCCACTGCCCTTGGACCCTAGTCACACAAAATGGACAGTTCCCATTCTGTAGTTATTTCCTACGAGGACTGGTAAAAAATACTTGTCACAGAAGCATTTTTTTGAAAAGTTAAGTGACCTCAGATCTAAATTAGATTGCACATTCCCTTATCTATGCATATAGAAGTTCAGGAGAGGACAATTTTTTAAAATTTTTTTAACTGCAAACCCTCTTTATAATGACAGATTTCAGAGTAGCAGCCGTGTTAGTCTGTATCCGCAAAAAAGAAAAGGAGGACTTGTGGCACCTTAGAGACAAACAAATTTATTTGAGCACAAGCTTTCGTGAGCTACAGCTCACTTCATCGGATGCATGCAGTGGAAAATACAGTGGGGAGATTTTATATACACAGAGAACATGAAACAATGGGTGTTACCATACACACTGTAATGAGAGTGATCAGGTAAGGTGAGCTACTACCAGCAGGAGAGAAAAAAACCTTTTGCAGTGATAATCAAGGTAGGCCATTTCCAGCAGTTGACAAGAACATGTGAGGAACAGTAGGCGGTGGGGGGGAAATAAACATGGGGAAATAGTTTTACTTTGTGTAATGACACATCCACTCCCAGTCTTTATTCAAGCCAAATTTAATGGTGTACAGTTTGCAAATTAATTCCAATTCAGCAGTCTCTCGTTGGAGTCTGTTTCTGAAGTTTTTTTGTTGAAGAATTGCCACTTTTAGGTCTGTAATCGAGTGACCAAAGAGACTGAAGTGTTCTCCTACTGGTTTTTGAATGTTATAATTCTTGACGTCTGATTTGAGTCCATTTATTTTTTTATGTAGAGACTGTCTGGTTTGGCCAATGTACATGGCAGGGGGCATTGCTGGCACATGATGGCATATATCACATTGGTAGATGTGCAGGTGAACGAGCCTCTGATAATGTGGCTGATGTGATTAGGCCCTATGATGGTGTCCCCTGAATAAATATGTGGACACAGTTAGCAACAGGCTTTGTTGCAAGGATAGGTTCATGGGTTAGTGTTTTTGTTGTGTGGTGTGTGGTTGCTCGTGAGTATTTGCTTCAGGTTGGGGGGCTGTCTGTAAGCAAGGACTGGCCTGTCTCCCAAGATCTGTGAGAGTGATGGGTCGTCCTTCAGGATAGGCTGTAGATCCTTGATGATGCGTTGGAGAGGTTTTAGTTGGGGGCTGAAGGTGATGGCTAGTGGTGTTCTGTTATTTTCTTTGTTGGGCCTGTCCAAAGATGGACTACAAGCCATCAGGAACAGTATCCCCAATAATGTCACGGCAAACCTGATGGCTGAACTTTGTGACTTTATTCTCACTCATAACTATTTCACATTTGGGGACATGTATACCTTCAAATCAGCGGCACTCCTATGGGTACCCGCATGGCCCCACAGTATGCCAACATTTTTATGGCTGATTTAGAACAACGCTTCCTCAGCTCTCATCCCTTAATGCCCCTACTCTATTTGCGCTATATTGATGACATCTTCATCATCTGGACCCATGGAAAAGAAGCCCTTGAGGAATTCCACCATGATTTCAACAATTTCCATCCCACCATCAACCTCAGCCTGGTCCAGTCCACACAAGAGCTCCACTTCCTGGACACTACAATGTTAATAAACAATGGTCACATAAACACCACCCTATACCGGAAACCTACTGACTGCTATACTTACCTACATGCCTTCAGCTTTCATCCAGACCACATGACATGATCCATTGTCTACAGCCAAGCTCTACGATACAACCGCATTTGCTCCAACCCCTCAGACAGAAACAAACACCTACAAGATCTCTATCAAGCGTTCTTACAACTACAATACCCACTTGCTGAAGTGAAGAAACAGACTGACAGAGCCAGAAGAGTACCCAGAAGTTACCTACTACAGGACAGGCCCTACAAAGAAAATAACAGAACAGGTGTTTGTCCAACCTGGTTTTAAAAAACCTCCAATGATGGGGATTCCGCAACTTTCCTTGGAATCCTATTCCAGAGCTTAACTATCCTTTATACTTAGAAAGTTTTTCCTAATATACTAACCTAAATCTCCGTTGCTACAGATTACACCCCTTATTTCTTGTCATATGTAATGATTAAGAGTGTTACAGAGTTTTTTCAACCTCTTTATTGACCACTAAATCATAAGACTAAGCACAAGTTGGCCACTATACATACCTAGCACTCACATATCTAAGGAGATGGGGTTCTCAGAGTCCTAGCTCTGCTGAAGAAATGCAGACATTTTTGCCTCCTGAAATCTGGTTTCTCTGAAGTTGCTTGTACAAAGAGGTGCAATATAAGATAGTGATTGACTTACTTAGACTTCCAGAAATGGAGGCAGAATCCCACTGGTCAAAACCTGGCTAAGCATATTTGGACCTCTGAAGAGAGCTGGAGGACTTGGTCCTGAGAAGTGCTGTGTGACTCCTGTAGGAACTGTCATAGATGGCCCTCAGCAACCTGCAGGATTGAGCCCTTAATAATCAGTATGAAACAATAACAGTTCAGATCTCTTAAAAAAAAATAAAGTAAGAAAGCAGTTTTGTATTAAATTTTTTTTCCCAGCACTACAAAAACATGACGTGGTAAGTGGTCTCTAATACATTAAAAGGTTAGAGTTTCTGGCTTTTTATGGTTTATTAAATTATTGGAAAGTGCCTACTGTTCAAGTAAATTTAACATGTTGGCAATTTAATGTTCATAGTAATTATTAAACAAGCATTAGACAGGCTAGAGACAGAATCTACCTGGTTGTATTAGAGATGGTCTTTAGTGCAGGTTTCACAGTAATACTATTTCTCAGCCTTTCATTTTCTTCAATGATTTAGCTACCCTAATATCTGTAAGTGTTCTGTAATACTGAGCCATAAGCTTATCAAATGACAAGTGCATGAGGTAATATCTTTTATTGGACCAACTTCTGTTGGTGAGCAGGACATGCTTTTGAGCCATACAGAGCTCTTCTTCATGGCTATAACTGCACTGCATGCTACCTAGATGTGTGATTTTGGGCAAGTCAGTGAGAGAGAGAATTATGATGCTTCTTACTCTCATGGTGCTATGTCAGGATTGGCATTGGGATAAGGGTGATAGTTCACTCTGTCCCAGTGCTGTGACCAGTTAAGAGGTGGTTGTAGGGGAATGGTGACAGTTCTTTCTCTCATGATGCAGTGGATAGGACAGGTGTAGTTGTGGGGGAAGAGAGAGATTTCCTTCTTTCCCAGGGCTAGATTAAGGCATAGGTAACATAGGGGTGGGTGGCAGTATAGGTCCATGACTAAACTCTTAGCTCCTGGAGTCACAATTATGTCAAAAATCTCAGCTCTCATTTAAAAATGTAAGTTTCTAGCCCTCATGGTTACAAAAAAATGCATGAAAATGAGACCAGAGTGTAACTGATGCTGTGATGTCTACCTGAATCTGCATAGAGCCTGAAACAAGAATTCTGGGAGATGTAAACTGTTCCATGAATATCAATGAGGCATTAACTACAAGACCATTATACTGGAGGGCCTCACCGACATACCAGCTGTGATCTCTGTGTGGCATGAGTGCAGTGGGTTTGGTCCGCCCATCCAACCAGATATAGCTCAGTGGCTACGGTAAGTAGTAGAGTCCTCCAATTGCTTCTCCTGCTTCTCCCAGGATGGACGTGGAAACGAAGCCCCGATTTTTCTGGGTTGTGGGGGGAGATTACTCCATGACATACTCTCTCTGGGAGCCCTCTCCCTTATACCATCCTCCCAAACAAGTCAGGGCAGAGCTGTGGGAAGGCCCTGTGTCCAGAGCTTGGATTTACCGTAATCTGTCCCTACTTTCTCCCAGCTGTGGGGATAGGGCAGGGAAGGATGCCAGCCAGCTCACACTCTCTTGGTGCTGGGGGCTGGGGCTGGGTGCAGCTGTGTGAGACACTTGTCAGATGCCCATCCTCATGGTATCAGATCCCATTATTAACCCTCACTGTTACCTTCGTAGCAGCCAACCTCACATGGTGGCTCCAGGGCTGGGGAGCAACCCCACGCGAGCCGGCCGTCTACAGGTGGAGGGGGGAAGGGCTGAGATACGGACTACCGCTCCCGAGGGGCAATGCTGCTGGCTCTCTGCGTTGGCCTCGGGCAGGTGGCGTGGTGCCTTCTGGGATTCGTAGTCCATGGGCAGCCTGGGGGCCCAGTTTACATCCAGTTGCCAAAGCAGCCCAACAATTTGGACAAAGTTTGGACACATCCACAACTGGTCCAGCCGCTTCTTTTGCCCCGCCCTGGCCCCACCGAGAAGGGTGGGAGGAGCCTTGGCTGCTACTTTGTGTGAGGAGGCTTCCACCCACCTCCCCACTTCGTCTGGACAGAGGAGGCGACACGTGTCAATCACCCTCCCAAACCCGCCAGGCGGTGCGCGCTCCCGCTCCCGGATGCCTCTGGGGAAGAGGCGCGGGCACGCGCTCTCCTGGTGGCGCGCGCGCTCGTATGTAAATGAGCGGGCGTGAGGTCAGAGGCAGATGGAAAAGGAAACAGACAGAATGGCCGCCGCGGCTCCCGCTCCTCCTGCCGCCGCCGCCTCCTCCTCCTCCCCTCAGTGCCGGAGTCCCCGCTGCACGGCGGAGCGCAGGGGAGTCCGCCGAGAACTCGATTCCTGGCGGCACCGCCTCATGCACTGTGTGGGTAAGAGAGGGGAGACTCCTCTGCCGCGGGAGAGCGGGGTCGGGGGGAGGCGGGGACCGGAGCCCGGGTCTCTGCCGCGGGGAGGGTAGCGCCGGTGGAGGAGCGGCTCAGGAGTCTTTCCCGGCGGGTGGAAGCGGCGCCGCAGGGTCTCTGCCCAGGAGATGGAGAAGGTCTGGAACCCCGGGTTTCTCCACCCGGAGGGGCGGGGGGAGAGCCGTAGCGAGTCCCGTTGGGGCCGAGCTCGGCGGGATGGGAAAGACAGGCTGGCCCTTTCTTGGTTCGGGTCCTTTTGTCTAGGCGTCTTCTCGCTTGTGCGAGGAGCGCCGGCTGCCTCCTCCCCACCGTGGGGGGCGGGGGGGGGGGGAATGGGATCCGGGTGTGTTTTGCGCCTTTAAGAAGGAGCAGCTCCTGCACTGACGGTTGGGATTTGAAGTTTTCCCTCCCCCCCCTTGGAAGTTGTCATGGCGACGGCAGTTCTCCCCTCACTCCCTCCTTCTATTCCCCCCCCCCCCCGGCGAGGCTGTCCTCGGGCTCTCGTGCAGTTCCCCTGTGTCATGTGACTCCCCGAGGGCCCAGGGGGAGGCAAGTCTGGGTGCCTTTCAAACTTCTTCGCGCTGACATCCCCGCACGGGGGGAGAGCACCAGAGAGCCACCCCCGCTTTAACACCCTATCTCGGCCTGCGGGGAAGTCTGTCGATACCCAGCCACGTTGGGCTGCTGCTGGATGGACACCTGTGACTGGAGACAGCTCCTAGGTGCGGGAAGGGGATTTGTTCGGCCGCTTGGTGAATGTATGAGATAATAGAGAATGACTCTGTCCGCCCTTCTCTGTCCCCTTCCTTGTTTATTATATGCGCTGTCATATTGATCGATCTCTGAATAGATTTTTGGAGGGGGGGGGTAGTCGCCTTGCTTGTTTGTGAATATTTGGAGATGGGGGGGGGGAGGTGTTCATTTGTATTACCCACATTGAGATCTTGCTTGTCAGGGAGACAGGTAAAACAAACAGTCTTTTTAAATAGCATAGCAGATTCTTTACTCTGTTTGCATTGATCTTCCCAATGGCTGAGCCATCAAAACACACATCGCTGAGATGATAGGCTTGAATTCACTGAGCATTTTTGGGGTCTAAGACCAAGATTGAAGTATGAATTAAATATCTGATATATACTTTACATGAAGGCTGTCTTCTGCATTGCAAAGAATTGTCTCCATAACCCTGTAATGCTCTGATTTACATTACTTTAAAAGTAAATTGCAAATCACCCTGATCTCTTGGTGTTAGCAGATGAAAAATATTCTTTCAAATGAAAGATTTTCTTTTGAAGTGTGTGTGTGTGGGGGGGGGGGCTGTTTGTCTCTTCTCCCCTCCCCCCAAAAAAGTTATAGCTTTGGTTATAGAAAACACCTTAAGTGTTTAAAAGTATTTCTTTAAAAGTGTTTCTTGGTATCTTTTTTTGTGGTAGGAAAATAAAATCCAGTGTCATTAGGATTATAGTGTGAGTTATAGTTCTTAAATACGCTTCTGGGGGAAAATTTAGGTACGTGTCACCCATCTGCTCAGACTTAATACTTTCTCTTATCTTTTAGTTATATCAAATAGCTTGTTTCACTCAGTTAACATTTTTATTCCGTAAAATTACTGTGATGGCCTAAATGCAAAATTATATCTTCATGACAGGATCCAATAGAAGGCGAAGGTTGGTGATAGGAAAACCTCACATGACAGCACGCTTCTGTCCTAGCTAAATGAATATAGAAACGTGTGAAATTAAAACTCAGTTTGAACACTATTTGTTTTTTTCAATCTTTTTGTCAAGTTTGCTCTAATGCTCACCCAACTTCACGCAAAGTTGTCTGTGTGATTTTTAGAGCTTGTTGGTTCACTTAAAACAATTAAAGAAATACTGTTGCTAGAAATACTTAATTGTCAGTTCAATTTGATTACACAGATACAGAATAACTAAGACTCCTTTACTTTGCCAACATCTTACTTTTACCATTCCTTTTGTAATTTTCCCCTACTCTTTTATTGTAATTATTTTAAGCACTGCATTCATGTCTCGTTTGTCGTCCTTATGCTGGTGCAGCAAATCCCAATCCTATTGTATTTAAAAAGCACTTTTACCAGGCCCTTTGTTTTAATGCTGTCAGTGTGCTGTGGTTCACTAAATGCAAAACAAAAACATAACTACTGAACTCCTAAATAGACTCCACCGTGTTCTCACTTAGTGCTCTGTGTTTGCTTCTACCTTTGTCTCATATTGTGGATTTAGGATAGAGATTCTTTGTTCTCTACAGTACAGAACACACTGTTGATATTGAACTAATAGTAATTGTATGTATCCCTTTATAACTGCGAAGGAGGAAGTACATTGCTATAGGGTTAATGTTTAGTCACAGTCCCTATCTCAGTTACATACTCTTATATGGGCTTGTTGAGCAGTTCTTAGCTGAGAGAAAGAGAGAGCGTTAACAAAATGGCAGGAAAGTGGATGGGCAGGAGAATGGAAATGTACTTCAGGCTTTTGCTACTTTTTGAAACTTCATGGACTTTGGTTCAATAAATTATGTTGGCTATTAGGTGAAACCATTAATTTGGTAGTTGGAGTTTTCTTCAGGCAATGAAGATTTTCTTTAGAGATTGAAAGGCTCAAATGCTGTTAAGAACGGGAGAAGAGTCTGAGCAACTGAAGGAAATAATTACAAAATATGAAAGGTAGAACAAAACAGCTAGGTTAACTCATTCATATATGTCAACTTATTGGTTAGATCATGTGACGAAGGAGGGAAATCTGGATTCTTAAACAAATCTAGCAGTTCATTTCTAACTCTGAGATAGAACCACTTTTTCTGATATCTCACAATTTATTGATGCCAAACTTGGTCATTAGCATCTTTTTGAGATCCTCAGATGAAAAGTGCTACAAAGTGCTTTGCATGGGTTATTTCAGTGTTACGTTATTATTCTAAGATGAATAATCATATACTGATTTTATAAGAAAGATAAACTGAGTCAGTCTAAAGGGACTTTATCTAACAGACCAATGACTCGGTTCTGCCATCCTAGGTTATATTGAGTATTACCTTTAATTTCAACAAATGACTACTTGCCGAATAAGGCATTGTTCAGTGCGAAGTTAAGGGACAGAATCAAACTTTGTTTCTTTCATTAGTGAACAGTTGGACATAATTTTGTATGTTTGAGTTTTTTGGTTCAGATTTTTAAGAGTTTGAGAAACTGAAGAAGTGATGGAACTCTAAATGAAAATACCAGAACATTTAGAGTCTTGAATAACATTTCTCACCTTAAAAAAACTGGAGTGATTGAAAATCTAAACTCGTTTGGTAACAGTTCTTGAAGGATGTAGACTCAGAAGAAATGTCTTTTCAATTGCGAAAGAGATTCTACATAGGCATATACAGGTATCAGAATGTTTGCAGAAAAAGTCTTGTCTTTTTGAATAAAAACTTTATAACATTCATTCCTTTCCTAATTGTATTCCACTGAGTTGAGAGGGTTTGATAATTTTATAGCTTTATGAGCATGGAGCTAGAAAACTGAGGTTTCATGCACTGTTTCCCTTTTTAAAAAAAAAAAAATAGGTCTAATGCTAGCACTACTAACTTAGTCAAGGGAAGTATGGCTCCTTTTAGCCTGGGAGGCATCCCTTTTTGGAGTCTCCATGGAATAGTGTCAACAGTCACTTATCAATACATTAAATCCAATTTCTATGAAATTGTTAGGCGCACAGTTCTGATGGGGATTAGGCACCCACAGTTGTCAGACATTGTACTTGGAATTACGGGTCCTCATTGCCTCTTGGGATTACTCCCCAGATGAGCAGATGTGGGTAATTTAGTATGAATTTTTAAGGGTGGATTTCTAACATGCAGTTAAGTATTTCTTAAAATAACAGTGTGAATGACTTTTGGGACCATACTTTAGATTTTATTGTTAAGGTTAACACATTCCATTATAAGATTCTGCTTTTAGTTGCTTATAACTTTGCCAAATAGCCATTGAGGTTGAAATGTTCATGCTGGGTGTCTGCCTCAAGCTCAGGTTTCAGAGTAACAGCCGTGTTAGTCTGTATTCGCAAAAAGAAAAGGAGTACTTGTGGCACCTTAGAGACTAACCAATTTATTTGAGCATGAGCTTTCGTGAGCTACAGCTCACTTCATAGCTCACGAAAGCTCATGCTGAAATAAATTGGTTAGTCTCTAAGGTGCCACAAGTACTCCTTTTCTTTTTGCCTCAAGCTCAGTTTTTTTGGAAGTTTCAGCTAAAATGAGAGAGATTAAGGAATTTTATTTTGCCGGTGGGTGGGTGGGGTGGTGTGGTTTTTTGTTTTTTGTTTTTTTTTTTAAATCTTACCACTTCTGTTAAGTTCTAGTACCTCTGTGTTTTCGAGCTGGGATTTGACATTTGGCCGGTGAGTTGCCCCTGTGGCAGTCTCATGAAAATTCACTTAAATTTGGCCAGATTGTAAACCTCTGAAATTAGAGTTCACACAAGCTCAGTAGAAGTTTTACATCTAAATTCTTATTCCATATGCATTGATCATGCTTCATCCCCAAAGGGCTCCTACATGACAACTGAGCTATGCATGCAGGGACTGAGGCAGGA